GCTTGTGATTTCACTATGCTCTGATTAAGTAACTTGAAGTTTATAAACGTGAACCAATTCTTTATATATGGTGGATCCAATTCCTGTTGCAAATGACACCAAATTTGAGCAAGGTGTGTTTATACTGTGCAATTGGCAATACTATGTACATGTAGATCTATAATATCTGTACATGCAATTTGTGATAGTAGTTGGTATCTGTCAATTATGCTGTAATTCACAAACAAGGTTTCCAATCGGTGTGCTTACTCTGCATAATTTTTTTAAACTTTGGATATACTTCGGGTGGAATGGAAGTAAGTACTATTCTAATTATAGTTCACCTTCTGGCTTGCCAAGCCATTGGCAATAACAGTTTTAAAAGTATTATTGGGCATCTGGAAAATTGCAGATCACTAGTGCAATAATCGATAGCCAGGGACAAGGAGAAAGTTCGTGGGATGTGGAAATTTCTTTGAATCCTTTGCTGTGGAACAGAGATGGTTTGAACATATGCTCTCGGTGGGCAGCATGACATCCAACCGCTTCAAATGCAGAAAACAGAACAGTCATGAGGGGGGGAATAGGAAAGCTCTGTAAAGAGCCATTTGCTGTTATTCAAAATATGGTGAAATTATAGGATTTATATATTTGCCTTTTGTTGTGTCTAATTCTTAATACGCATTTCTAAATTTGTACCACCAGAATAGATACGACAAGAAAAATCATATGCCAAATCTTACCTTCGATTCAGACCGTTATCATATATATTCTTTTCCCACTCTTGCCATTTTGAAATGAGAAGCAAGTTCGTGGCAAATGGAAATGAATTCATTTAAGACTCAATGTGTTGCCTCGTGCTTTATGTATGCTTTATATACTGATGTTGCAGAGCAAGACACTAACCCCACCCCCACAGGAATTCTTTTGTTGACTGCACTGCACTGGAAATCTATGAGACGGTTTACAGACAAACTAGCCAGTCCGTTGCAGCTGGATTACTAGTAATCATCTCGAAAACAGCAACTCTACATCCTTAACAAGCCATTGGCAATAACAGTTTTAAAAGTATTCTTGGGCTTCCGGAAAATTGCAGATCATTAGTGCTAATTAAAGATGGTGCCTACTTCGGAAATACTTTCCTAAAATAGTGACTTAATCTGACTAGCAAATCTAGTCTCCAGGGCGCCATACAAACAGGGCTTTCATCGTTAGCATTATCCAGAATTCGTGTGGCAATATTTTTACCAGCATTCCGAAAGGCAACAAACCAGGGCATGTCCACTGCAAATTCGTACCTGTAATCATCTGGTCATACATTCTAGGAGCAATATCATCGCATTTCATGTGGGTCTTGCGTTTGCAAACACCACATGGTACAGCTCTGTGGTTAATGGCGATAGTTCTTGAACACACGCCAAACATTTTGGTTTCCCAATGTTCATGTTACTCATTGGACAAAAAATTATCAGCTTTTTCCCAGCCACCATAACTATGTGGCCTTAAACATTATATAGCTCTGTAATCTATGTACAGGTTTTTTTAAGAAAATTTGTAAATTCCCTTTGGTGACTACTAAACAAAAATATGTCAAACTAAAGAAAAGCCACTGTAGCTTTTAAGTTATTAGTGTCAAAAGGTAAATTAGGGTAATTTTGACCACCTTTTGGAATTTCATGTTATTCATTGGCTCTTGATACAGTGTTGCACCAGATACTAAGTGTCTTTTCTGTGTTTCAGAGCTCACGTTATCATCAGCAGAAACCATTATTTTGGTATGGGTGGAAAGAACAACCATCAATAAGGTACACCTTATCAAGGACCTAAAACCAATTGCCAAAAATCTTAAACTGAAACTGCTCAGGAACAAAGGCAAAACTGCTCACATCCGTGCTATTGCAAGTACCCTTTACCCTTTTACAACAGGGAAAGGTTAAGGTGAATGCTCCCTTAGGAAATATCACCAGAGATGATGTGGTTGTCAATAAAAAGCGACTGTTGCACTGCAAGTCAATGTCTATGGCAAACAGTACTGTGTCAGCTGACTTTATCACCTTGGACAAGGTGGTCAACCATGATCAGAAATGTTGAGCTAATCAAGGAAATTGATCCGATTGCCAGGATTCGCAAACTGAATCTGCTCAGGAAAGGAAGGACAAAATATATGTGTTGTTTAAAGCATAATGGCTGTGATGACTGTTCTGTTGAAAGCTGCTAGACTGAGGCTAAATAGACATTAATGTTTGAGTTTATTATGGATGGGTATTTCCAACAGGCATAATGCCCTAGAGTGATATGAGGTGGCCTAATCGTTAGTGGGCTGGACTCCAACCCGAGCCATCTTGGTTCAAGCCCTATTCCTATGTACTTCATGCTGGAGAAACCTGGACAAGCTCTTTCTAAGATAGTACATGTATTCACATTTTACTTTCCAGAATGTCCGATTCATGAGGAAAGGTGCTGATAGAGTATATTCTGTCAAATGACATATTTTTCTTCTGAAACTCGTAAGATCTGATCACTGTCTGTTTGAATTTGCCCACCAGAGTTTCTTTTAATGTTCTACTTTAACTTCCAGAAATGCGTTAGCTCCCCAACAAGATATGAAAGACGTAGAATGGCTACCTTTTGATGTGGATGGGGATTGTGTCTTCAAAGTTCCATGCATAAAAGAACAAAACATGAAAGCAACGAAAGATGGAAGACCTTGAAAACAGTGGGTAACATCAAACCGGGTGAGTGCTGGTTTGAATGTTATCTTGTTCCAAGAGATAACCATTGTATTTTTTCCAGCCTTAAATGAAAAATAAGCTGCCATGGCTCAGTGTCTATTTTATGTCTGCGTATTAATAATTGCCATCTGATATTTTTAATTTTTTATTGCATAAGATTGATTGATCCAGCCACATGCTCTTGGGCTGGGCTCCTTTCATTTTTAAATAGATGTTGCATATACTTAATTGTAAATGGGACAGGGTTGTTCAAAGGCCGGATAACACTATCCACCAGACAATCTCTATCCAGTGGATTGCGCTATTGGTTTTCACAGTACTTATCTGCTGTACAGTGATTTATCCGGTGGAAAAGAAAAGCCAACTGGACAAGGCACGCACAAGTGCCATGCGTGTGGTAGATCTGGGCACTTTGCATCTGACAAGGTGTGTCCTGCGAAGGAAAAGTTGTGTGCTAACTGTGGCAAGAGAGGGCACTGGGCAACGTGTTGCAGGAATGAGACAGATGGAAAGAGTGATGGAAGAGGAAGTGAGCGTAATAGTTGGAAATCCTGTGGTGCTACCAGTGGACGTAATTTAAAGCCACGGGGCCAACAAGTTAATCAAGCGAACTGCGTAAGTGAAGAGGTACCATTTGCCTTATTAACTACAATGAGGAAAGGGCCTGTGAAGATAACGTTATTGCAGTGAAGATTAATGGCACTGTGACAAGGATGCTCCTTGACTCTGGAGCACAGTCAACCGTGCTTGGTGAGCAGCAGTTTCACAACCTAGAGAGGAATGGTCTAAAAGCAAATTTAATGCCAGAGGAGAGGAATCTTCGTTTCTATGGCAATGGGTGTTTACCAGTAGTCAGTACATTTGAGGTTACAATTGCATGTCATGGGCAAAAAGTAGTGGAAACTGTTCTTGTAACACAGGGAGAAGGGCAGTGTTTGCTTGGTAGCCCAGCTGCTAAAAAGTTAGAAGTGCTGAAAGCTAGACTGGACCCGCTGAACATGAAGACAGTTCATCCCATAGGCAGTGATATCAACTGTATTGTGGGACCTTTTCCAAAGCTGTTCTCTGGGGTTGGCAAGTTGTGCGGGAACCAGCTGATGAACTTACACCAATAGCACAGAAACCAAGGCAGATCCCTTACCGTTTGAAAGATAAAGTCTACAGAGAGATTGACGAGCTTCTAAACCTTGACCTTTTGGACAAGGTTCAGGCAAAACAACTTGGGACAGCCCAGCTGTGATAGCTCCTAAGCCAAACAAGGATGATGCCCATATATGCGTTGACATAAGGCATGCCAATGAGGCAATGCAAAGGGAGAAATTTTGGATTCCTACGGTGGATGAGGCACAGGAGGAAATGAATGGTAGCACGGTTTTCTCCAAGCTTGACATGAACATGGGGTTTCATCCAATTGAAATTGAGGAGGGGTCGAGCGATACCACAACATTTTCAGCTGGTGATACATTCTATCGTTACAAGATGTCGAGTTTTGGGGTGAACAGTGCTCCTGAACAGTATCAGAACATTTTTAAGCAGACAATCACTGATTGCCCCAGTGCCACCAACGTAGCCGATGACATTGTTGTATACGAACAGACAACTGAAGAGCATGAGAGCAATCTGGTGACATTGTTAGAGCGATTACAGGAAAGAAACCGAACCCTTAACAAGGACAAGTGCAAAATTGAAATGAATCAAATTGTCTTTATGGGACTGCTTCTAGGTGAGCATGGCGTGGTACCAACAGAGGAAAAGGTAAGAGCAGTTCATGAAACAGAGTCCCCTACTAGCGCTGCCGAGGTGTGGAGTTTTCTGGGACTTATCAGTTTCAGCTCAAGTTTCTTGCCAGATTTTGCAACAACCGCAGAACCACTACAAAAGTTGACACGACAAGACACCAAGTGGAAGTACGGCAAAGAGGACAACAGCTAAATTATCATACAGCAGACATGAAGGAACGTCTTGTGACAACCTGTGGTTAAACATTTGCCAAAAGCGAGATGAATATGATGAAAAGATTCAGAAAATGAAAGGAGTGGCATTTTTTTTGTCCTCGGTCGCCACCCTAGAGAGACGAAGGGGAGCAACCGGGAAGCAACAATAAGTTCAAGGATACCATCATCAAGCATCTGAACAAACTTGTGGAAATACTTAGCGATCGAGAATGTGAGTTCATAAGGCAGCTTCGTATCCAGTATGACTTGATCAAAGTAACAGAAGGATGGTGCTTTTCAATAAGCCAGAGAAAGTTCCTTTTTGAGCTTGTGAAAGACAAAGACGTTGGCAATCTCCCAGGGCGTACGGCGACTACGAACACACTAAAAAGCCAGATCCTGGGAACTTCAAACAAATTTTAGAGAACAGTCTCAACGAGCCGGAAATGGTGTACTTCTGCAAATACTTCATTCGACTGCTCAACTGCTGCATCAAACAACACAAGGAAAAAGTAATGTGACTGGTAGGAGAGCCAAACAGTGGAAGAACGAGCCTTTTTACATCCATCTCGTGCCCGATCCCAGCAAGATACATTGCAATGATCTCTAAGTAAAAAGCGTTCAAAAAGAGCTTACTTGATGAAAACACGCCCAGAATCTTCCTGGACGAGACACGTACCAATGTGCTGGATCCAGATGACTGGAAAATATTGACACAGGGAGTGCTAACCACCCACGACCACTAGTATAAGACGTCAAGTTTGAAAGTAACAAGATGCCCAATGTTTATCACTTGTCAGACTGACATGGATTTTGGCATGGACCACAACACCGCCATGGACGCCCAAGTTCTTTTTACTGCTCTGGGTGTTGCAGGAGTTCAAGAATTCTTACAAGCCAATGCAATGGATTGCATTGTCTGGGCATGTGGTCTCGAAAGAACGCCAGAAGACCAGTTTACCCCCGAAGGACATTGATGAAGAAGAGAGAGATTGAATTAGGACCATTCAACTAGACGAAAGTGAAAGAGAGCAAGAAGCAAGCGATGAAGCAGAGGTGAACAGGACTACAGAATTTAGTGATCAGGAAAGAGAGAGTGAAGACTTGGATACTGATTCAACCTACTTGGGCCAATAGGAGAAGAGTCTAAAGAATATCGAGATTCAGCAAGAGCAAGAGTCATTCCACAGCCTCAAACAGAGGCAACTAAATCTACTTGCAGCTGGGGTAAAACACGCAGTGGAGGACGTTGACAACCAAGAAGAACGCGCACAAAAACGTGTTCTAGAAGAAACATGTCAACGATGAATCTCATACATACATTCATACATATATACATCGTTTATTTGATAAAGTGGGTCGAATAAATGGCAGCTATTGCTGATGTGGACCTGCTATCTACTTTACACTATATTATTTGACATCTAAAAATATATCGTAATATAAATAATTATACCTACAAATAATACATAAATAAATAGATACGCTTGAGATGACTATGTAAAAATAAATATATAAATTGCAATTAAGTTAACTTAGACAATGCAAATGACAGATAAAAGGATGACTAATCAAAGTGACTAGTAATAAACTAGATATTAATAATATATAAATTCATCACTATTATTATTAGTTGCAGTAGAGTTCATGCCGAAAGTAATTGGTCAATGCATTTAGAGAATTTCTTAATGTTAGCCTTGAGTGAAGAGTAACTAGGCTTGGACTTTAACTGGCTACATAAGCAATTCCAAACAATGCTAGCACAATGAGTGAAAGAATCATGTAAGGCTTTGGCTTTAGAAATTTTCAAGTTCCATTCCTAAATTATCTCCTAAATTATATGGAGTCCCGTGCTTTGTAAATAAATTGTTAATGTCATCAGGAGCTAAGTTATGAAAAGCCTGGTATGCAATACAAGCAAGTCTCTCCTTAAACATATAACGTAGAGATGCCCATTTTGCCATGCTGAGTACTTCATGTTTTGGGGTAGATTTGCTGATATTGTGAATCAGTCTGGCAGAACGGATGTGCGAGTCCTCGAGGTTAGCCAACCAGTTCCCCACTGGGATATACAATAAGTCGCACTTGGCAAAATTCCTTTGAAGTAGATAGATTCCAGAGGGGAGCGGTTGAAGGTCTTCATCTGTTTAAGCTTAGAAATCTTTGCGTTGAAGTTTGAAGTAACCATTTTCATGTGAGACCAGTTGATCTTGTTATCAAGTTTGACTCCTAAGCAAGATCAACTGGAGACAACATAGACGGGCTAATCATCTATATTGATTGTGGTATTTTGGGTAGAATCGCATAATTAAGTAAAATCTCACATTCTGATTGGTTAACGAAGCGAGGTATTTAGTGTGGAATTGCGAGTTGAAAACGAGGCTAAGCGATATTGTTTCGCATCTACGTAACAACTATCGTCAAATTCTAACACAACAACATGCAAAAAAGGTTTTCTACAATGTCATTTTAAAATGTTTTCAAAACCATTTATTGTCACTTTTTGAAGAGTTAAAAACAAACAAAAGCGTTTTTTAAAGTGAGCCGGAGGTTCTTCCTTGTTTTGAACTGAACTACAGATTCTCGTAGAGACATAAAACCTCTTTCACTCGCGACAACGAGAAAACAAGAAAATCCTGTGAACACGGCCCAGAAAATGGCAATCCAAAGTTCAACCAAACAAAATGGAGAAGCGACAACGGAGGAAGTGCCGGGGTCGATTGTCCCATATACAGAAGAAGAAATAAATACCTTCAAAGAGGACATGGCCCCTGAAAACATGAAAAAGACTAGAGTACGCCGCTTGCAATCGTCCTGAATTGTGGTACTTAGAAAAGTACAAAACAGAGCTGAACTTGAACAGCATTTCTAAAACATTTCAAGGTACTTACCTTATGTCAATCGCGACGTTAAACATGTTAAACTTTCAGTGCTTTCGCTTGGACACTTGATTTCTTTCAGTTTTGCCACCGAAGAGGTAAAAGGTGTAAATTATTTGCCTTCTCGAGCAAATGACCAATTTGAAAAAAGACGTTCTACATAAACGGCTTCTAAATTCAGTAAAATACCTCTATTTATCCTTACGATTAGTGTGAAGCTTGTTTACATGTAAAAAAGTTTGAAAACAAATGTAAAAACAAGCACAAGGTACGAAAAAAGTTGTCAAAGTTTTAAACGTGTACGACTGACCTTGCTTCCTATTCGCTAATGCAATGACAGTTCTGACAGTTGACTTTGAAATGGCTTTCTGGAGCGCGCGCTCAGGATAAAAACAAACTATTATTGCTTTTGTCTTTTTTTTTCTTCTGATTTTTATTCAATTATGCGATTCAAGGAAAATTCATTACCTGACTCGAGAATTCCACGTTAAATTGCCCTTGAAAACCGATATCAGTTTTCGCGTGCAATTTAACGTGGAATTCCCTCGTCAGGTAATGAATTTTCCTATAATATTGGTCTCGTGATAAAGATGATGTAAGAAGGTGAAATAAAGAGTTGGAGATATGTTCATAGTATACGCACGTGTGTCTCTTTGTTCCTCATTGTTTGCTTCTAAAATCCTTCAGGATACATGAGTGTTAACATGGCTGCAATCATTGGTAATTTAGGCCCTTTTGACGAGAAATCTGAGAAATTTAGTGATTATGCCGATCGATTTGAAGCATATGTTGCGAAGGTGACATCGACGATGACAAAAAAGTGAATGTTCCTGTGGCTGTTAGTGGTCCAGATGCTTACAAGTTGTTGAAGAATTTGTGCAATCCAGACAATCTTAATACAAAGACGTTTACACGGTTGACGCAGCTTTTGCAGGGACACTACAAACCTGCTCCCATTGTTATTGCTGAAAGACACAAGTTCTGGACTGCATCACAAGGGGAGAGCGAGAGTGTATCAGAATTTGTCGTTAGACTGAAGAAATTGGCTTCGACCTGCAGCTTCGCCGAATTTCTATCTAAAGCCCTAAGAGACAGACTAGTTTCTGAATTACATTCGAAAATGTCCAAAACTCAATGTCACTTCCTGTCGATAAGAGATTTGACCTTCGCGGTTGCACATGACAAGTGTGTTGCAGATGAAATGGTATAGCAAAGGGCAGAGTGGTGAAAATGCAGACAAATGCAATTCATGTGAAAGTGTGCAACATCGTTCGCAATCATGCAAATTCGGAAATGCCATGTGTTGTCACTGTAAGCAAAAAGGTCATATTTGTCTGATGTGTAAAGCCCTACCATCGCAGATCAAGTGGTCAAAAGAATGTGAGGCTGAACAGTTGCGAAAGCAATTCTGATGATGAAATTGTGGAAAGAGATAATCATATAAGTGACACGCCTGTGGATGCAGATGAAGTCGGTGCTTTTGGTTTGTACAAAACTGGAACTGAACATTTGTCGCCCGAGTCTGTAAATAGCATCAATCCGTATATGTAATACATGTCCTGTTAGGTAAGGCAAAAGTTAACTGTAAGATGGAAGTAGACACGCGGGCACCTCGTTCTACAGTGTCAAAGCCTGTATATGATTCTGCATTATCTAATTTTACCCTTCAGCATGCGGGAATAATTTTGCGTAGTTATTCAGGTGAAAAGATTCTTGTATTGGGAAAAACTTCTGCACCAGTGAAGTATGATAATCAAGAAAAAGTCCTTGATTTAATTGTTGTCGAAGGAAATCTCCCTGCATTGTTTGGGGAAGACTGGTTAAGTGGAATAAAACTAAACCGGAAAAAGACGTTTAGGGTACAGGAGGAGGTCATTAAGGATAAGTTTTCTGTACCAAAATCTGAGACCTTTCCTGCTGAATTCAACGATTTATTGCAAGAACACAAAAATCTATTCAGCAGTCGAGGCTCTGGCATCAAGGATTTGATTAGTTCCTTGAAGCTTAAAGAGGGTGCTAAACTGGTGTTCATGAAGGATAGGCCAGTCCCCTACTCCCTCGTAAAAAAAGTTGAAAAAGAGTATGATCGACTTGTGCAGTCAGATATTTTGTATCCGGTATCCAGTACTAAATGGGCAAGCCCTGTAGTGCATGTCCCTAAGTCTGATGGTTCAATAAGAGTGTGTGGGGATTATAAGGCAAAGTGTATAGAGGATGACGTGCACAAATTACTTAATGTACAAGACATGTTTCCCATGCTTTCTCAGGATGGAGCTAACCCTGATACCTTTTCAGTAACTGATTTGGCCAGTGCTTTCAACCAATTATTTTTGGATGAAGAGTCAACTGAGTTACTCACCATCAACACTCGAAAAAGTTTATTCAAATCCAAGCGATTGTGTTTTAGTGTAAAAACTGCAACGTCTCAGTTTCAGAGGGTCATGGACTCAACCCTGTCTGGTATTAAGGGTGTGATGGTGAGAGTGGATGACATTCGGGTGGCAACATCAGGTGGAGTCACTACTCACGTGGGAGTTATCAAACAGGTCTTTAGCAGACTGGCAAAACTCAATGTTAAGTTAAAAAATGGCCCAAAATGTCAGTTCTTCCAAGCTCAAGTGAAGTATATGGGCCATATTTTGAGTAAACAAGGAATCAGTCCTGTTAATAGCAAGCTGGACGCAGTTAGATTGGCCCCTAGACCTAAGGATGTCTCCCAACTGAGATCGTTTTTAGCAATGCTGGATTACTCAAAATTCATCAAAGATATTTCATCCCAATTGCATCCATGTATCAGCTTCTCAGTAACAAGATTGAGTGGTTTTGGACCAAAGAATGTGAAACGGCTTTCATGTGGGCTAAAGAAGTTCTTTCGAGTAAGCAGGTTTGGTTCATTATGACCCCAAAAAACCTCTCATTCTGAGTGTTGATGCCAGTCCATACGGGATTGGAGCTGTGTTAAGTCATTGCATGGAAGGCAGTGAGCAGCCGATGGAGTTTGCCTCTCGTACACTTAGCAGTGCTGAAAAGAATTATGCCCAGATAGAAAAAGAGGGGCTAGCCATAGTTTTTGGTGTTAAAAGATTTCAACTTTACCTCTATGGCAGAAAATTTACATTGGTAACTGACCATCAACCCCTAACTCGTATCTTTGGACCTAAATCTAGCATTCGTCCTTTGGCTCCAGCTCGTTTGCGACGTTGGGCTGTTCTCCTGTCTGGATATGATTTTGACATGGTATTCAGAGACTCTGCTGGCAATGCAAATCCAGATTTCTTCAGTCGATTTCCCATACAATCTCAGGCTGATGATGATTTGGATCCAGATGAACACTGTGTGTGTGCAACAATAACAGATGAATTAAACATCACTGTAGCAGAGGTAGCAGAAGGTACAAAAAAGGATGGCCTACTTGTAAAAGTGTATGAATGTACCTCCTTTGGTTGGCCTGGTAGTTGCCCAAGTCCAGGGCTCAAACCATTTTGGAATTATAGAGACGAGATTTCCTTGGAAAACGGATGTCTCTCATGGGGCAGACGTGTCATCATACCACTCAAATTCCAAAAACGCTTATTGGAAGAGTTACACGAGTGCCATCCAGGGATGTGCCGTATGAAAGCACTTGCCAGGTCCTTTGTGTGGTGGCCTGGTATTGACCTTGATATAGAGGACAAAGGAAGACTTTGTGACGTTTGTACTTAGGCACATCATGCCCCTAAGGCAGTTCCCTTATTATTGTAGCCTTGGTTGCCTTAACCGTGGCAAAGAACTCATGTTGATTATGCTGAGGTGAAGGGTCAACAATTTCTTCTTCTTGTTCAGAGCCACTCTGAATGGATGGAAGTCTTTCCTGTGACAAGCACTACAGCAAATGCTACCATAGAGGCTTTAAGAGCTCTGTTTGCTCGATATGGATTGCCACATGAATCGGTCAGCGACAACGGCCCACAATTTGTTGCTGGAGAGTTTAAATCATTTTTAAAGATGAATTGCATCAAGCACACTTTATGTTCCCCATATCATCCCTCCACTAATGGTTTAGCTAAGGGACATGTGCAGACCTTCAAGGCCATGTATCAGTCTTGTACTGATAAGGGGTCAGTTCAGCACAGGGTGGCTAATGTCCTCTTCTGCTGCGGAAACACACCCCACACCACTACACACCAGACTCCTGCACAACTGTTTTTGAAGAGAGAACCCAGGACACACCTCTCCTTGTTGAAACCCAGTTTACAAAGGCATGTAGAAAAGAAACAAGTTGCCTCAAAATTATACAGGGATGGGCTGCACCCCAAGGGGCGAAGTTTTGATTTGTATCAACCAGTTAGAGTAAAAAACACCAGGGGAGGGAAGGAGAAATGGATACCGGGTACAATTGTGGCTGTGAAGGGTCCAGAAACCTACCTAGTTCGAGTTCCAGGTAATGGTCGTCGCTATGTCTATGCTAATCACTTGATACCTGATGATGCCAAAGGCATAAAAAAAAAGTGCCCATAAGGAAATCGTCACACCAGAAATGGTAGAGCATAATCCACCCTTAGATTTTCAGAGGGAACCCGTCGTTCCTGAAACAAAGTTACAAATTCAGTCTGAAGTAGACAATGAGATTTCTCCTAAATTTAGTGTTATTGCTGTACCTGTTGTTGATGATAATAGTAATGTAGAGAGTGGCAACAACTCTGGACTTCGCAGTCCAGACCAAGTGGTTACCAAACCTGTCATGCCTAGTCACGCTGAGTCCAGACCATGTCAAGTGGTTATTCGTTCAGGACGGGTGATCAATCGTCCAGACAGATTAAATTTATAGTTTTCTTTTGTAAGTTGCGTTGATTGTCATGAAAACTGTATAGGAAGGAGGAAATGTGGTATTTTGGGTAATATTGGTCACGTGATAAAGATTATGTAAGAAAGTGAAATAAGGAGTTGGAGATATGTTCTTGATATACGCACGTGTGTCTATTTGTTTCTGATTGTTCGCTTCTAAAATCCCTCAGGACACAAAAGTAATGAGTCTCATTGGGCTGATGAATGGTGTTTTTGAAATGAGTATTACTCTTGACTTGACTGGATAGATGAACATAGAGTTAAATTTAGACCAGGTAAGTGGCTGATGCAAGAGTTCTTGAATTTGGGTTGAAATGGAGTCAATGGAGTTTCAATAATATAGGCAGTGGAGTCGTCAGCAAACATTTCTAACTTTGAGTCAAGTGGCAAAGGCAGGTCATTTGTAAAGATGCTGAAAAGTCTTGGGCCCAACAAAGAACCTTGGGGCACGTCAGAAGTTAATCTCATTTTCTCACAATTCGTACCATTGATAGACACAAACTGGTGGCGGTTATTTAGGTAATTAGCAATCCAGTCAAATGAGTCACCACATAAACCTGAAGCTCGGAGTTTTTGAGGTAAACTTTGATGAGACACACGGTCAAAGGCTTTTTGGAAGTCAATAAAGATTATGCCAATTGATTTTCTTTCAGCTAAAGCAAGCCTCCATTTTTCTGCCATGCTAAGAAGCAGCAACTCAGAGGATCTATCCTTTCCGAAGCCCCATTGGGAGTCAGTAACTAGATTGTGTTGGTTCAGAAGAGTCTAGTAGAAAACAAGCAATAGTTTCCAGTAACTTACTTGGTATACTTAACACTTAAGTAGGATGGTAACTTCCACAGTCTTGAGTACTTCCCTTTTTATGGATACAGTGAATCTGTGCTGTCTTCCATTGTGATGGAAACATCCAATCATCAAAGCTCTTCTTGGCAATATTAAGAAAGTTATCAATGAAGACATCACCCAACATTTGTAGTTCTTTGCCAGTGATTTTATTGGGGCCACAGGCTCTTCGCACTTTAATATAATGTTTGAATCAATAGGATAGGAGCTCTCTATACAGTAAATGACTGTAAAGTAGGGGTAATTCTGTAAATGTGATTGACTGGTTGAGTGGAAAGATCCAATGCTGATGAACTGTTAGTATTAGCCAGAGTTGAACATATTATATTGGTAAAGTAGGAGTTGAATTAATTTAACTTTGAAAGATTGTCGGTTAGAAGTGAACCAGATGGGGACTTCACTGGGCCAATGGTGGAGCACTTGTTGTTACCTTGGAAGGATTTGACTAAACTCCAAAATTCTTTACTGGATTTAGCATTGGTGAGTTTGCTGTTGCAGGTGAGAAATTTCAGCTAATTTTAACAATTTAGGACAGTAGTTTCTTTGTTTCTTGAAAGCCAACCACTTAGGAGATCCTCTTGGTGTTTTTTGGGCTTTAAGAAGAAGATTATATCTCTGATTCAACTCTTTTTTCTAAGACGAAGTCATCCAGGGCAAACTATTAGATCTAACTTTAGCCTTTCTAAGAGGAATATGTTGGTCGATGATGTACTTATATAGTGCTTCCCATGCCCAAACAGAGTCATCAATATCATCAAAGACATCACAGATAAACCATGGAGCAAAGGCAAATTCAAGTTGAAGCCAAGAATATAAATATCGGCTCCTTGGTTATGCATCAGAGATGGGTTTCAGTGATTGCCAAAACGTCGAACTTTTAAAGTGAGTAATAACACCTTAACCTCATGAATCTTGCCCAGAAGACCATTGCTTTGCACTCCGTTGACAGCTGTAATTAATTTTGAGTCAGTATTTTTTTTGTTTTTATTAGCGATAAAACCGGACACACAAGATTATTCTTTCGTAGAATTTAGCCAATCAGTTTTCAGCTCACCTGTGGGACTAGCGTGATTAGAGAAATTGAAGGATCAGTGAGAAAGAATCCTGTTATTGAAGACAGTGTCTTATACCTTTTCTTTAAATAAGATAGGAAAATAGCTGTGTCATCACGGGATAACGCCTTACAGAATTGTAAGTATGTTCACATTTGTTGAAGAAAGTTGCTGATTTCATTTTCAGTTAGAATCGATTTATCAAGCTTTTATAGTCGATTCACAAGTAAGCAATGCAATGTATGCCTTTATTTTCAGTTGACTACGCATATACACATTTAGCTAGCTGTCGCGAGATTGGAAATTGTGAAATTAAAGTGGTTCAAAAACATCTGGTAGATCCCGTTGACATTATTTTCCTGGTGTGTCTTCAACCTGAGTAGTACCCAAAACCAAGGTGCGAAACAACCGTTAACGTTCAAATGACCTATTTCAAGGCCTTTGGAAGAAGACAGTTCTTCATACAGAGTTGGGTAAAGTCTATCTAAAATATGTTTCAACTTCGCAGACTGAGACCGGGTAAGCGGGCCAGGATTTAAAGAGATGTCACCAGAAATAAATAAACGGATTTGTTGGAAGCTGCTGGTTGAATTCACATAATATTGCACTCTTGACAAGAAGAAGTGTTTTGCAAGTGGAGAAGAAACAAGATGGCATCACAAGACCAAGGGCAATCGTACACATTACTGGGCGAATCCTTTTCAGTGACCATCGAAATAGCTGAATAGAAGCTGGTATAATCGCAGTAGTACTGTATCGCAATACTTTCAGTACCTAGAAATGATAAAACACTAAAGATAATAAGACTTAAGATGAGCTATGAAATTCATGTCTCCAGGAAATCCGTGGAATCCGTGTTTCTGTGATCACATAAAGTCTGTCAGTTAGCAGTAAGTCGTGTCTGCAAGTTTTATCATGAAACATTTAAGTCCCCAGGAAATCCATATTTCATTACGGAATCGCGCCTGTAGATACGCGTCGCTAGTAAATGCAAATTTTTCTGTCAATCAAATGTGTCCTATTGTTTGTAGGTGGAGATTGGTAAAACATCGTTATTGTTTTGGAGACAATAGAAGAACAAAAGATAACAGAGAGATCAAGTTATGCGGTCTTAAAGCGTGTTGCGTGACTTAAATCAGTTGGAGCATTTCTCCTAGCTTTCCCGCATTAAAACGTTGGAATGAAAAGTCTGAAGCTTAGCTTTTAAAATCTTGATAGCCAAAATAAAAGGGGTGCCCCAAAAGGCAAGCATTTGGGAATTCAATATCGATATTTTTGTCTCCAGCGAAATCCGGCGGATGAACAGTAATTTGCATATAAGCGTAAGTGAAGCGAAATAGATACAAATTGCCGTGGTTGTAAACACAACGTTTCCTCGAAGTTTTTTTCCTTTTGAAAGCGTAAATTCGCATGAAAGAGCTGAGCTTGCACAAAATGATATAAAATGAAACGAATCAAATCGAAAAGTGGTAAAAAAAAGTCAGGATATTTCAATTCGATGGAAAGTAAGTGATTGGGTAGGTGATTTGCATACTGATAAAAATAACGTCTAGCGCCGTTCAAAACCGTTCGGCTTCCTGAATTGTTTTCCTGGAATTCTATACATTCTGCTGGCCTAAATCGTTCAAATATGTTATGAAGTCAAAATATTTATCAAGTTGAGCGTTTGCATTTCCTTATAAAACAGAGAGTAGCGCGAAAGCTTCGATCTATAGATTTTCTTAAGTTAAATTACCTTTGTATCGTGGAAACAATACCCTAACACTTGAGTCTTGAATCAAAGGACACGACATGCGTCGGCTCCCTTTGTGAGCGCGCAAATAGTCATGGGACCCGCGATTTTGCGGGCGACACGGATCTACAGGCCCCGTTCCATAATGCTGCTTCTCGTTTAAAGAGTGTTACCGTCTATGAATTTCACTAGCAGTCAATGTTTAATGCATTTCTTTTCCTTTCAAAGAACTTTTCACCACACACAGAAAAGATAGATTTTACGGATTTTGTGGAGCTATGGAGCTTTGAGTTCATACCTTTTCACACATCTTCTATTTTCGTTTTAGCCAAAATTTTTCAGCACACACGGAAAAGATGGTTTTTACATATTTCCTGCAGACACGAAGCTTCGGTTAAGTGGTTTCTGTTCCACCTTGAGTATGATAGAGACTCCTTTTAACAAAGGTCCGTTGTAAACAAGCTGGAGAAATACAATCATTTCTTGCATTTCATTACCTAGTTTGCTCCTAAATGGTGACACTAAATGCATCACATCCTTTTGGTCGTTCCTTTGAATCATTGTTTGAGAACAGGTGTCGGGCGCTACAGGGATTGAATGACAGTATTGATTGCATTGTTTGAGTGTCTGAGAAAACAAGTCAGAGAACAAATCTAATGATCCTATCGTTATTGCACTTCACCAAAAAGGGTCGGTTTTTTTGCTTTTTGCTTTTTGCTTTTGATTTCTCCTGGGGAGCACCATCATAATGCTGCGATTGAATTGTTTGCATTGAACTTGCCCTCTAAATTACACCAGGATGTCCTTATTGTCTTGCGCTAGCAAGTGATTCATGCTTTAAAGACACGTGCAAAAAAGGAATGCCTTTTCAGAGGCTTGTTTGATAGTTATATCATATCTGACACATCTTTGTCAACAAATTTGATTTCAAAATATGACAAGCTAATGAATCATCTTTCAGAGTTATTCATCAGCACGTCGAAAACAGAGCCAACGAAAGGCTAAACTTTCAAATTAATTTGTCACAATTTCACAGCGCTGATCTACTATATAAACACTGCACCCATGCCACAACATTTGTGCTACGAAAGAAGAGTGCAGAGAACAAGACAACCATGTTGACAGCTCAACAGTGAGGGTATCAAGAGCATGGCCTTGTGCTACCTTATGCCGGTAATAAGCAGAAGATGTAGCATTATCAGTGTTAAATGTGTTTGCAAAGTGAAGGATGAGGCCTTGCCAAAGGCGTGGGCAACTGTTTGTGGAAAACGAGATGTGTGCAACCACACAATATCAGGTTAGTATTTGTTGCAATATGACAGTTTCAGATGCAAGTTTAAAGACATTTTAGTGCAA